TCACGCGTTGTACTGGACAAAGTCGACTCTAGCTTTGAGAACCGACCACCGAAGATCTTCATTGGCAACACCGTGAGTGGTTCTTCACATCGTAGTAGCTCATTGAGAGCGGTGAACCAAGGAGGAGAGGGTGCTCGCCAGCATCACAAGCCGGCTCCTGTACAACTGCTCGAAGCACGAAACCACTCCACGAATGTTGATTACCGTCAGATACGAGTAACGTGGCGATGTGTCGGTCAGCACTCTCGAAGTAGAGGTTCATGCGTGGGACACCGGAAATATAATATCCCATAATCTCACGAAAAGCGGTGGGGACACTATCGAGATGGACGCCAAGGCGTGGATCACCCTCTAGGATGCAAGGGTCGCCAAAGTCCTTCAGGGCACGCTGCATAATGTCAGTAGCCTGCAATATGCGTGGTGTGAGCCAGCCTCTCATATAGTTAGCAACCCCCGTCCAACTTCTCAGCCACGCAGTACGGTACTCCCTGACCGATTGCTTGCGCCGTTTGCCTTTCTTGTTCTTGGCATAGAAAGGAAGGCCCTTAGAGAACGTTGACAGCGCATTTTCGACAGCGGCCTCCGTCAAGACTGTGCGCGATGGAGATGGCGTGACACCAGTGGACGAGATACGCATACCACAGAAGTCAATGGCTGGAGTCGGCCCCTCCTGCTTTTGGTCGTTGGTGTTGAAATTCAGCTTGTGGAGAATCTTTTTAGCAACAACCATAGCTTGACGGATGGCATCATCAGAATCTCCGCAGAACAACAAGTCGTCCTGATAGCAGATGACTGTAACCGGTATTTGCCGTTTGTCCAAGGCCGGCTGGATCAATTCCGTCACAATCTTAAGAGTCCCCAGACCAAAAAGTAGGCTGCTGAACTTCCAACCTTGCACCAACGTCGTGAACCGATAATGATGCAAACGCCTAGTAGATGGGTCCTTTGCAGCAACTGCGAAGAGGCGAGAAAGGGCAGGGCCAACATGAATACTGTAGAATGCATGTTGAAGATCGAGCCGACCAAAAGAATAGGTACGGTCCGACGGAATGTCCTGGACTGGAGCAAAGCCGTAGTCAAGAACT